GGCACGACGCCATTTGGGTAATTGTCGATCGGTTGACAAAATCCGCCCACTTCCTGCCAATCAAGGAAAACTTCAAAATGGAGAGACTCACGCAGATCTACATCCGAGAAATAGTTCGCCTTCATGGGGTACCCGTATCCATTATCTCCGACCGAGATAGCAGGTTCACCTCAAGATTTTGGAAATCGCTACAGAAGGCTCTTGGAACTAAGTTGGATATGAGCACGGCTTATCATCCACAGACAGATGGACAGAGTGAGAGATCAATCCAGACATTGGAAGATATGTTGAGAGCCTGTGTTATTGACTTCGGCACATAATGGGACGCTCATCTTCCTCTTGTCGAGTTTTCCTACAACAACAGCTACCATACCAACATTAAGGCTGCACCGTTTGAAGCCCTCTATGGCCGTAAGTGCATATCCCCTCTGTGTTGGGCTGAGGTGGGTGACACGCAGCTAGCCAGGGGTCCAGTCCCCAACAGTACTCTCACTGGTCCTGAGATCATTCGAGAGACAACTGAAAAGATCGTACAAATACGGGAACGACTGAAAGCCTCACGAGATAGACAAAAGAGCTACGCCGATAAGAGGCGAAAACCCTTGGAATTCCAGGTTGGTGACCGCGTCCTTCTGAAGGTTTCACCCTGGAAAGGCATGATACGTTTCGGAAAACGTGGAAAACTAAACCCAAGGTACATTGGACCGTTCGAGATCCTTGCTAGGATCGGTCCCGTGGCATACAAACTCCAGTTACCACGAGAGCTCAGCAACATCCATCCTGTCTTTCACATGTCGAACCTAAAGAAATGTTTGTCCGATGAGACACTTGTGATTCCTCTCGACGAGATCGAATTGGACGAGAGTCTACACTTTGTGGAGGAACCTGTTGAAATCATGGACCGGGAAGTCAAGCGTACGAAGCAGAGTCGCATCCCGATAGTGAAGGTTCGCTGGAATGCCAAGCGAGGTCCTGAATTCACTTGGGAGCACGAGGATTCAATGAAACAAAAGTACCCTCACCTCTTTCCAAGTTCATGATTGTACTCTATCCTTGAATTTCGGGACGAAATTCCCTCTAACGGGGGGATGATGTGACAACCCAAAACTTATACCTTGTACACTTAGTCAACTCTATCAATGCTAAGCTTGTTTTATAGATTTCTTACACTGTTTAGAGTCTGTTTGAGCGTTCTAAGCTTAGTACATCAAGGGACCAAGAGTTAGAATGGGTCAACTAAAGTTCCAAACCATCAATCGGGCCATAAACCCTCAAGTGAGGAGTTTACGGCCAGGACCCATGAGTTTACGGCCGTAAACTCATGATGGTCGTAAACACATAATGGCCGTAAACTCCAGCCTATAAGTAGGATGCTTGATCCATTTTCTTCACTCTTTCCTCTCCTAAGGCTTGGAACTCGAAAACTCACTCAAGAATCAAAGGATTTTGCTTCAAAAACTCTCATAATGTAAGTAAATCCTTCCATCTAAGTGTTAATACTTCTCTTATCCATGAATCATCATTGATTTCATCCATGGATTTCATCTTTGAGTCTAGATCTTCAAAGATTCTCAAGAACATCAAGAACACTTAGGTGTTTTGGGCCGCAAACACCCTTCTTTGCCTTCAAATCGTAAGTATGACTTCCTTATACTTGATATCTAGTAAGAACTCATGATTTGCACCCTGATTTCATCCAAAATCCTTGATCAAAGTGAGTTTACGACCAAGAGCATCTCCCTTGGCCGTAAACCCTTATTAGAGGTGCAAATGGGGTCATAACTCTTCCTAAGGCTTTGACTTAAGGCTAGAACACTTCCTTGTGGACTGTAAGACCTTAAAACACCCTTTTGAGCACAAATCATCATGAGTTTACGGCCGTAAACCCTTGTGGCCGTGAACACCTGGTGGTCGTGAACACCCGGTGGCCGTGAACACCTGGCCGTAAACCCTGGTGGCCGTGAACACCTGGTGGCTGTGAACACCTGGCCGTAAACCCTGGTGGCCGTGAACACCTGGTCGTAAACCCTAGTGGCTGTGAACACCTGGTGGCCGTGAACACCTGGCCATAAACACAATGGTGTGGCCTTAAACTCCTTAAATGCAATCCCTTGTGGTTATAACACTTCTGTGTAAGTGTTTCCTAGTCCCTAATGTGTTTCACTCACTTGATTACTTGTGCAAACACTAATTACATTCACATATGTGTCCTGGTATGCTTATTAGGATCCGTGTGTGTGCTCAAGTCTCCACTTGGCATCTAGCGTCCTATACCACTCTTTCATCCAAACTACTCACTGCACATACCCCTACATTTTTCCGTGTTTTTAACATTTTCAGGGTGGAGAATACAAGCAAAAGCATAAGGAAACTTGTGCTCAAAATATTTTTATTTTGTTTAAGATAATTATATTTTCAGCATGCTTTTTAACAAGGAAAACAGATTTACCAACCGATTAAGAAATTAACACGTAGAATCAGTTTTCCAAACTAGGGTAACGAACTTTTGAATCATATAGTAAAATGTAGCATTTTATAAAAGATTCATGCAAACCACAAAAAGGATCTCCAGTATTATTACTTGTAAGTTTGTTAGTCTAAGTTGGAGGCACGTCCTTGGTAACACTCCCACAGAATCAGAGTGTAGGACTAGTACTTGTGACCAGAATCTCTTGTAGGGAGAGCGTGATTGTTGTGTATAGATCTATACAGGACTGACTATCCCGCACCTCGCTGCTAGCTACAGTGGGACCGGCAGGTCTACGGGTGACAAAGTCATAAAGGATATTGGCTCCAGCATGTGCCATATCAAGTTAATGTATGGTCATGACCCTCGCAACGAAGATAGCAGGAATTTACTTTTGTAATAATGAATCAAATGAACTAATCTCAAAGTAATATCCGATAGATTACTGGAGGGTATTAATAATACCTTCAGGACATAGTTCATCACGGTTTTCTTTTATTTAGTTTTATTTATGTAATAAGGCTAATATACCTCTCTGGGTGTAACCAGGGTTTTTAAAAGGAAACTGCTTTTATCAATACGAGTATGGTAGACACTTGTCCACCTCGGTTCAGAACGGATAATCAATAATCAACTTTTAGGGAAAATATAGGATTTTCCCGAGATAACCCGGTTATTCAAAAACAGATGGTTTAACATGTAATCAATGGATATTCATATTCCTTCCACGACACCTTGGATTGTACATATCTTGTATGCATCTGAAAGTCATGGAAGGAATGGATTTTTCAAACACGCTTTTCATAAGAAAATATAGGATTTTCTTGAGGAACACTTTTCAAAAAGGATTCAAAGAACACTTTTCCACCAAAACTAAATGCTTATGAACTCACCAGCTTTATGCTGATATTCTTTCAAACTGCTTGTATTCTCAGGGAATCAGTAGTCAGATACATCGGGGATTTAGAGTAGCCGGAGTAATAAGAGTTATGTTTTCTATATATTACACTTTTGATGTATTTAAGACAAGTTTCAAACTGATGTAAACAATTTTCATGATTGTATTCAATGTTTGGTTGTGTTTACTATGTTTGCTATACAATTGTTGTGATACTACGCATGACGTCCTCCACCCCAGGACGTTTCCGCCATCCCGGTTCTGGGGTGTGACAGTCTTCTACACAATGTATGTTTTAAATAAATCTACAATTTAGAAAAGAAAAAATTGAATTTGTCAATGCATAAATATTTATTTATTTTTATTAAATTTTGTATATTTGGCTAATAAATGTAATGATACGTGTTAAAAGTATTACCAAAGAAATTAGGACTAAATTTTTTTTTTCTATTAAGCTGTGAAAACGAATGCCAGTGACTTTGGTGTTAGTCCAGCGACAGTCCGACGGGTGGTCTGACTTGCGTTCAAACGACAAGTAACAACTACTTGGAAACTAGGAAATGAAAAAAATATGCTTAATATAATATTAATGTTTCATTTGTCTAAAATGACCATAATGAAAAAAAATTTAAAAATTGTTCTTAAAGTTCTTAACATTTTTTGGTTCTCATTTGAACATCTCCCTATATATATATATATATATATATATATATATATATATATATATATATATATATATATATATATTATATATATATATATATATATATATATATATATGTGATCCTCAAAACGAGGTGATTATGAAGATATATAATAGTAAAACTCAATAAGACAAAACCCGAAGAATAGTCCCTCAGCCGAAATCAACTATACTTTTTTGAGTTCTGTCATCTCTATAATAAATAAACAAAAGTTTATTGAGAAATATATTAGCTATAGCTAACAATCCAAATGTCAAAGATACCAAAAATATAACAACTCCTGTATCCTCCATACGTTCTTGATTGACTCTCAACTTTACAACCTCTGATCTGCATTCACATTCATACATTAGGTGTTGTTAGGATAAATGTTTTAATAAATATTTGAGAAATTAATGACATAATGGAGATATGGAAGGAAACAATGAGTGAGGAGAAATTTGTAAAAGGTTAGGAGTCAATGGGCAAGTCTTTTTCCTGACTTTCTCTATTAATTGTGGGCATTTACTTAAAAGTAAACACTCTTATATAGCTTACCTGATTAAGTCATAACTGTTAAGTTCATTAAGTCAAAAAAAGAAACAAAATCTTAGAATAATATAGACACTGATTATTTACTATATTAGTAACGAGTCACTATGGATTTGAGGCCAATTGGGTTACATAGAGTCTCGTTTTTTTTACTTTTAAGAGTCAACTCAAGTACATTTCAGCTTCAAATTTGACATGGTTTTCTTTTTTCGTTATACATCTGGAATATCTCTATTATATAATACATTTATATTGTTTTCGTAGCTATAAAGTTTTTCTATACATAGATTATAATCATTATCGATTATGGAATTAAGAGATAAATCATTAGCCATGCAAAAGTCGAACTTGGACTCATTCTGAATGTAAAAATCTAACTGGAGGAATGCATTGTCCATCGTCATGATATCCAGTTGAATGGACACAAGAGATTTCCATGATTCCAGCTCATCGACATGTTCTTTCTGCAAAAATAACAAAAAACATAACTCACCAAGGTTCAAATCAACAACAAAGGCCGACCAAAAAAACGCATTCACGTCTTTTGGACAGATGAGCAATCACCTTTGTTCCATCTTTTTGGGTTGGAAAAAAATTGCATTTTTGTCATGTCAATATCAATCCCAGTGTAATGCACGCAAAACACAGTATAATTTATGTCATCTCTTGTATTCCATAAAAAACGTCGCCTAATGATCATAAACAAACACCAAAACATACCACAACATCCTTGCTCTCATGCAAATCTCTCAAATCCATGCGTACTTTTTCCACCACAACATCTCTTTCTCCAATTTCCGCATCTATTTCTCTAAAAATATAACCATATCTCGAGTTCAATTCATCTAAAAACCTCTCCAAAACCGTTAAATTTATATCCAACAATCGAACTTTTTGCATCAATAACCTAAGAACACTGTCCCCAGGCAACCTTCCCACATGTGGATCAGGCACATTAGCTCTTTCCTCTAACCACGGTTCACCTTCCGGCTCTGGTTTTCCATCACCTTCATGTTCGTTAGACAAAAACTCATTATTTCGAGCAAAAACAAAATCCTCAAGCATCATTTCAACCGCATCCACACCATAATCCCGAACATCACTCAACGTACAATAAAACGCTGTTCCATAATGACTGTAGATTCAACTTTACATATCGCATCCATTTCGGATCACAGAGAACGAATCTTTGTGAGTTTTTCACATTTACTACTGTATAAACTCCGAGTTTTACCCAAGATTCGGTAGGATATACTGAACTCCCAAACACCTCGAACCCCTTTAGATTTGATGAATGGTGTTCAAAATTAGCGATTTCGATAGTATCAATTAGGGTTACTTCTTATAGTTCTAAAATGACAAACTTGTCCTCGGATGAACATGGGTTTCGAAGGTACTGATTTTGGTCTGTGTTTAAGATGTTGGGTGCACCCTTGGCTTCCTTGTTATGAGCCAAAACCTTTGCACCCTTTGATGATGAGGCATAGTTGTATTTCACACCGCTAGGTTCAAGCCGGTGAATTATGTTTTCTGGATTAGGGTTTGATGGATGGATTTTTGCACCACCAAAAGCCTTGTTCTTGAATTCATCAAGATCTTGTACTGAAAATCTTTCGGTTTTTGTCTCTTTTGGTTGCTCGTTTGGGAATGAGAAATGAATTTGTTGTGTTTTGTTAATGAGATCAGAATGGTTTTGGATAGTCTTGGATTCGATTTCGGTTTGATAAGTGTAGGAATCTTTTGGAAAATCTATCTGACCATCTATATGAATAAACAAAAATGAGTTTGTAAGAAAAGATATGCACAAATAAACTGCGAACATATATAAGTGATAGACTTTCCCCATTTATGAAGCAGGAAAAGTCACGACAAATAGTGAACATATATAAGTGATAGACTTTCCCCATTTATGAAGCAGGAAAAGTCACGACAAATAGACAATATGCTATGATGATTGTGACTATGGAACAAAAATTGCAATATTTTATCTCACCAAAAAGGTGAAGCAACGGTAGGACTTAATGGGGAAAGCTTTGTTTCCTTTAATATTTTGAGAAAATCACCGCATATTGGAAAACAAAAAGGATAAGAACAAATAAGGGTAAATTTGAAAAAGGTTAGGACGGGGAAAGCTTTGTTTCCTTGAATTTATCTGTTAAGTAGTTTTGTTCTACATTCAGTAAAAAAAACACTCGTATACAACTTCACCAATTAATTCATATACCCCTATAAATATACTAAGTAAAAGAAACAACATGTAACTCACCTCTGTAGCCATCATCATGGCCAATCCGTATATATAGAAGGAAGAGAAGTCCCCACATAAAGACGACAAGTGGCAAGAACACCTTATAAAATAAGTTCTTCCTATTAGTCTTCCACAATTCTCTTATAGTAAGAAGAGATTTACGTGATCTTTGCATTGTATATTAAGAAGCGAAAGCCTTTCTGCAACCACATAATATAATTTTCAATCGGCCGTTGACAAAATAGACTGTGACCATTAAAAAACCATTTTCCCAGTTACCCAATTATAATACCGCGAACAAATACCAGAATGTACAACATACTTTCACCATTTTCTCTATTTAGACACTAAACTATTATAATTGAAAATAATATTAAATTGATAAAATGGAGAAACTACGTTGTATTCTGTATTTTGACCAAAAATAGAAGATAGTTTTGTAAGATTGTAATTTGACTAATTTCTCCTTGAATTGATATCTTCCACTAAACCAATGTTTTAAAAACCGGTTTTTTAGTTGAACCGATATGGTGACCGGTTTCCGGTTCAACAGGTTCGACCGCCGAGTAAACCGGTTTCTATAATTTTCATATTTTTTTTCATATTTTCCTACACATATATACATATACAAATCACGAATTTGATGTCCACAAGTTCAAACATTAAAATACACATGAAAACAAGTTGTAGATCAATCTAAATACATTAAAATAACTTATAACCATAAGTTTTACATCAATCCACATGCATTAAAAAGAAAATAAAGTCCTAGATGAATATAAACACATCAAAAAACTTCATAACATTTATCATGTGTTTTTATTCAGAAAATTTTTAATAAATGTGAAAAAACTACCAAAGTTTATTATGCAAAAGGTTTTAATTTCATGTGTTTTTATTCAATTTAACCGGTTCAACCGGTTTAATTGAACCGGTTCAACCAGATTTTTGTAAAAACCGGCCGGTTCGATCCGGTTTAGAAATAGACATAAAACCGGTCATAGTTGAACCGCTCCCTTCCCCGATTCCCGGTTCGACCGGCCGGTTCAAACCGGTTTTTAAAGTATTGCACTAAACGTCAAATTACAAGGGATTTGTGGGCTATCAAAAGTGGACCCAAAAGGGCCTATCTATACATACGCTAACATCCTCCTATAGTTATATTGTGTGGAGTTGTCCAAACGTTTAAATTGGACCTAAACTCGTAAAATAGAGAGCAATCTCTTTTAGAAGCTATCGGCATATTGTCGCACGGGAACCATGTCGCGAACAAAGTGGATGCCAACCTCAGCATGTTTCGTACATTGATGTTAAACCAAATTAGAAGATACGTAAACGCACTAGAATTGTCACAATATACAATTGTTGTTTTGGGTGGTATGAAGTATAACTCACAAAGGAGATTGCAAAGCCAACAAGTTTCAGCAACCACATCACCACATTGGCAACTCCGATATTTGGTAACTCGACCAATTTCGAAAACTTCGAGACTATGAACATTGTAAATGGTGGTTGTTTAAACAACTGGGACGAAAGTCTCATTGGGTCGCTGACTTTTGCCATTAGAGATAAGAGCGTGAAACTCTTCATTCATAGCCTTCTGTAGGTTATGGTCCTTTAATGCTTGTAATAATGAGGGTTAGGGAAAAGGCGGTCGTATGTAGGTTAAATCGTCGTATGGGTTTGACGATGTCGTATTTTGAACGGGTGAGTGGTCATAGGAGGTTCGGTGATGGTGGTAATAGTATACGATATGGTGAGTCGGCTATGTGGTATGACGATGAGGTTAGTTGGGCCGGAGTTGGGCGGGCCTTTTTTTCGATCAACATGAGAGGTTGTGTCGAAGGACAGGTGGTCGACGAGTTTAGTTGGGCTAAAAGAGGGCAACTTGTGTGGTTGTATCGGCCTTAGGGTGGTGGGTTTTGTTTTGGGACAAATGAGATTGGGCTTGGAGCATGTGGGTTATACTCCAGAAAATAATGAGATATTGAAGACGGGGTGGAGTAATCATCAAGAAAGTTATATGAGGGGGTTGAGACGGAGTCATGGAACCGAAGGGAAGGATAGACTCACCAAAGACAACATGACACAAGATGATGATCTTTTCGGTGGAAATATCAAGGCATCGGAAACCACTGTGTTAGGATGGATATCCGAGAAAAATCCACAGAGAAGTACGAGTTGTAATAAAATGAGGATAACATAAGCATCCAAAGATGCGTAGGTGAGAGTATGATGGGTGTTTGGCAAAAAAAAAAAGGCGATAAATGAGGTTTCGTTAATTATGGAGGTGGAGGGTAAATGTTTAACAGGTGGTTAGCCATGTCGAGTTCCTCAACCCAATAAGTGGGTGGTAGATGGGTGTAAAAGGAGAGTACTTATGACATTATTGATGGTGTGAAACATGTGATCCGGTTTACCACTTTTTTGAGATGTATGAGGACAAGAAAACAAAATGTGGGTACCACTTTTATGAAAAAAAAAAAAAAAAAAAAAAGCGAAAGGATTGATTATCGTACTCGCCACAATTGTCACATTTAAAAGACTTAATTTTACATTCAAACTGAGTTTTAACATAAACATGAAAATGTAGAAATTTAATGAAGACATCATATTTGTGTTTAAGTGGATATACCATACAAAGTGCAAATAAAAATAACACTATTTTATGCCACTAACTAGAAATTAGAAATAAGAGATGTCTATACATTAATGAACAATATAAAATGGAAAATGAACGAAAAACATTAGAAATATAATATGTTTGTCAAGTTGACAAGATTGACAAACCATATATGAGTCTTTACTTTATTACACGAAATAAACCTGCAAGACACAAGAGACTAAAGAACTTGATGGAAAGGATGATCGAGTTATTGATGGCAAAGAGAGGAACAAGAAGACAAAAGATTTTGGAGAAGGATATGTCAGAAGCTAAGGTCTCTAGCACTGTCACATCAAAGCAGAGTTTGAAGGGTCTGATAGTCATTTAAAGAAAAACCAAACTCTTCAATTTGACATAATATTTATTAGTACAAGTAAACTAATGAACATACATTAGGTTTTTGATGATATTAGGGGGTGACAAGGATGTTATGTAAGTAAAGTTGATATGGGGCATGGCCCGTTCGTATAATAGGAATAGAATACTCGTTAACAACAGGGACACAATGAAAATTATGCTTATCACATGTGGTAGAAAGGATAAGATTAGATGTGGTCCCGGTATCTATATACCATCTATTGTCACCTTAGTCATTAAGAGTCATTGTGTTAAGAGTTTAGGTAATGTTGTGACTTGATTAGATGTGTCATTCAAGAACCAAGTTCAAGGTGGCAATGGTGTGACATGAGCATGTTGGTCCAAAGGTGTATGACGCCTATTGGGGAGCGGCTAAATTAGACCAATCCTACTAGATGGAGCCCGATGTGGCATAGGCCGTGTAGCTGGATGGAGCTCAATGTGGTGGCGATGAGTAGGCAACCTATTTGGGGGACTTCTCTAGACCAGGGCATAGCCCATGGCAATCTGATTGGCGGAAAGGTCTATAAGGATTCCACTATGGAGGTTGTTGGTTGTAGTGTGGCTAATGATCGAAGCCCGGACAGTGGCCTCTTCCATTGTCTTGACTTTGTCTCCATATTTGGTAGCTTTATTACGAATTAAGAACTGTGGTGGCTGATCACAAGTTATCCGAATGGAAGATTGTTGAGGGCGAACTTGGGCCATTCTTTGTTTTTTGAGGAATAGCATTGATCAAGAGTCCAAGAATGTCTAGAGATGCGATTGATGAAGGATGGAACTCACGATGTAGTCTGATTTGGGGGATAATCTATTTATCATATATGTAACAAGATTCTTCCCCAGAACATGCGAATCAATAGTATCAAGAAGGTCCGAGATAGTTTAGATTCGGGTACGATAGCTAGGTCGTGATTATCGCGATGTTTCTCAATGCGTTGTCAAGTTGAATGGATTTTTCATCTTTATTATCACGAAACAAGGTCTTGAAAGTGATCTATATTTGACGAGTCGTGGAGTTTCTATTAATGATCATCTGAAGAAGATTAAGATATTGTGTCGTAGATCCATAGTTTTACTGTAAAGTTGATATTGAGCAGTTTGGTTCGTCAAATTTTTGGTTCGTCAAATTTGGCTATTTCATCATCGTGGGAGCCATCGATGTAATCATGAACACCAAACCTAGTGCAGTGTGTTTAAGTGTTCTCTCCGGTCATCATAATTAATTCACCGAAGATTGATAAGGGTTAAGGAAATAAAGATATTGGTGATTGCCTAAGGTTTTTGGAGAGAAAGAGTATAAGAAGATAATGAGGATGAGGAGGCATCATCATGCACGAGGAGTTCGACCACAATGGTTGAGGACACATGTTTCTAGGAGAAGTGGGAATTAGGGTTAGGAAAGAAGATTGGGTAGTGGGTACCATGTAAGATTGAAATTTCTCTATGAATTGATTTCTTCTAGGGCTGGCAATTCTCAATACGACCTGCGATATGACCTGCGACACGACACGAAATAAATGGGTTTGGGTTAAGTTTTTCAACCCGCCAACCCGTTTATTAAACGGGTCATATATGGATTTCTCAAAAAATAAACGGGTTGAACCGCCAACCCGTTTATATTTTTAATAAAAAAATTATTTTATTTTTTAAATGTATTTATGTATCAGGTATTAATATTTAATGAGTATTATATAATATATACCATTGATTCATAGACCATTTGACTGTTTTGACATTTTGACTCGTGGTGGATGGCCTAAGGTCGTAAGTCGTAACCTATAAGGCTAAGTCTATAACCATTTTGCCCATTTGCCCTAAATAATAATCTCAAAATCAAATCTCGTATGAGCGTATCTCCTTCTTCCAGACTTCCAGTCTCCCAGAGTCTCACTCTCCCCTTTGTTACTCTGTGATCGAAATCAGGTATCGAAATGGTGTTGGAGAATTGACTTTGTTTTTTGGGAGAAAAAAATGGGAATTGTGGCTATTACTTTAGCACGTGAATTATCTATGTTTGTATTAATATTTAGTTTGAACATGTTTCTATGAATGTTTTTAATTTTTGTTTGGATGTTTAAGACTTAAGTGTCTAAAATTCGGATATGTTTGCATCAACCATCAAGAATTTATTCATGTTTAATTCGCAATTTTATTTATGGAATCTAACCCACGAACCCAAATATGACCCACAAACCCGTCAACCTGTGAACCCGTATAAATAAATGGGTTGACAGGTCATATATGGGTTTATGTTCCAAACCCGCCAACCCGTGACCTGTATATTTAAGTATATTTAAATGGGTCATGTTTGGGTTGACATATTTTGACCCGTCAACTCGCCAACCCGCGACACGCCAACCCGAAACGACACGATTGTCAGGCCTAATTTCTTCTATTATGTGTCAATACAAGATTACAAGGGATTGTAGGCTATGCAAAGTGGGCCAAAAGAGGGCCTAAATATAATCATCTATACATACGATAACAAGCTTGAGTGAAACATGGTCTTTATACCATAAAAAATATCGACTTACACAAGTCATCTCATTGCATAGTCAGAAAAGTCCATGACCAAAGACTATTACGATCAAAAACCAGACACATATAGTTTTAATATCAAAAAACAAAGACATGGTATTTATGTCAATCCAAGAAGATTCTTATTCTCCATTGTAAATTTTGCAAGATTAAGTTATGTTCATATGAAGAGAATAATTTCATATTGGATTCTCGGATTCATAAATTTTCCAACACCTCTACTAAGCCTTTCCAATTAAGTAAAGTAGAAAACAGAACACTTTGTTTACAATATACTATATGTAATATCAAAAAACATCACATACCCCTCTTAATCTGAATATAATACTCAACAAATTTCCAAAAAGAACTATTTAAACGCTAATTACAAGTAGAAGCAATTCACTAGTTCATGTAAGATCAAATATCCATCATAAATTTAATACAGAATACAGCAAAATCCACAGAGAAGCAATCGAAACCTAATTACAAGTTGAAGAAAGTAACAAGCTCATTCATGATCAAATGAATACCCATCTGAATTGAATAGAAATTGGTGTTTCAAACTGGGGTGATTGCATAAGGAAAACAGTTGAAAGTTTGAATTAAACAGGGTAGCCACATTGATCAAGACAGTGATTATAAAAAGCTTAAAATTGTAATTGAGTGGGTTTCGATGCTACCTGAGTTTTAGCTTTTTGTTTCTTGAGATTTGGGGGTTTGTTGCAAAGGAGCAACAAGATGATGAAATTGTTGAGATCGTCGATCTAAATAGTGGTGAACGAGTGTTGAAAAGTACGATCTTCAACAGTCTAAATTAATCAAATGATAAGAAAAGGGATTTGAAATCTAGAATTTAGAATTGGATTAAAATGGAAATTATTTATTTGTGGACCTCAAACGACTTTTTTTAAAACTAACTTTTTCTAAAATGATATATTTAAAATGTTTTTGGCTTGACTTTTAAAATTTTTAAGAGTTAAAAGTCAAAAGTCACAAAAAGATGAGATTTCATAACTTTTAAAAAAACTTTTTTTGTTTGCGACAAAAAGTTGTTTTAAAAGAACTTTTTCATTTGCCAAATATCTTTTGATTTTTTTTTTATTTTTTGGAAAAGTTAAAAGTTCAAAAGTCATTTTAAAAGAAATCTCAAACACCCCCCATATAATGGTCATTACGAGTGTTCTCACTTGTAAAAGTCTAATATCTGTAAAAAGAATTAAATTAAATTAAATTAAAAAAATAATAAATTTAAAAAATCTAATTTAAAATCGCACAATGAATTTAAATAATAGTTTGGTTAATTAAAATAGGATAATTTTAAATCTTGTTTTTATTTGGTATATTGATATGTTAGAAAGCCAAACCAGGTCAAATAGTCACCATTAGTTTTAAGTTTTTTATGTGTATAAAACACACTTGCATAATTGTGTATTTGTTAAGGGATAATGACCTAAAATGATAATATACTTTTCGATTTTTACATATTTGATCACTGAGATTTTTTTCGTCCGCATTTGCCCCTTCAATTTTTTTAACTGTACACGTCCGGTCCTTATGACCGGCTACTCCAGATAAACCAAAAAAAAAACTTAATAGAGTAATATATATATATATATATATATATATATATATATATATAGGTTCAAATGTGGATTGACATCTATTGTGCGGACGTGTGGACAATACTATTATGTGAGAATGACAAAGAAAATATGTTGTTTGATGATATGAATACGTTCAATCTTACATAACTATTGTCATTATCACACATTCTCACTAATTAAATCGTCTATAAGGTTATTATAGACTTATTATTATTATTCTCATTCTGTCAGAATGTTGATTGAGTCGTATTCTGTAAGAATAAAAATGAGTGAAAAACGATGCGTGAGAACAAAAATGAATAAGAATTAGTGGTAATGCATGAAAATGACGATATTTGTGTGAGGTTGATCGTATTCACATTACTAAACAACTTTTTTTGTTAGTAATTCTCATAGAATAGCATTGTCCACACGTCCGCACAATAGTTGTCAATCCACATTATAACCTAGCCTTATATATATATATATATATATATATATATATATATATATAGGGAGAGGATCAAATGAGAACACCTAAAAGGTTGAGAACGCGAGAACAATTGTAGACCAATCATTCCATAAGGGCGTAAAAGGAATTTTACAATGTAATTAAATATGGCAATTAATGATGATTTCCTACAATCATGGATGTTGTCTAATTAATTGATTTTTTACCTAAATATTATAAATGAATTTAATATATTTTTAATCAAATAGATTATTTAAAAAAAAAACTTTTTTACCATGATTAAAAAACGTTTTTTTTTTGTTTTTTTTTTACCGGTATATCAAAAAAATTGATGAATTTATCATTTCAACCAAATATATGTAATCATACAAAAATAAAACATATTTGTAATCATATATGAATCCGCTGTAATCATGAATGAATAGATGAATTAAGTTGTAATAATAAACGAATATAACGCAATTTATAGAGAAAAATTACAATACAACTATAATCATAAATAAATAAAAACATATTGGATATATATCTAGATTATACATCTATTGATAAATAATAGTAACACAAAAAGTTACAATGTAATACATATCTATTTTTCTATAATCACATATGAATACAACATAAACAAAAATTCGAATAAAAATAATTAACTGTTATTATATAATCATAAATGAATAAGGCGATATATTTTCCACTTTGTATTGTTTGGTTGTATATTAGCACTCCAACATCCCGTTTGTAGATGTATCTCGATTTCCTCTACACACTGTCAAATAAAGAAATAAATAAAATTAACAATCAATTAAATGAAAAGGATTTAGAAAAACACACATGACATCAAATTATAAATGAAGAGACATGAACAAAATAAAAAATACATATAAATTCCTATAATTGTAATTATATTCATACATGAATATATCACATATGAATACACTTCTAATCATAAATTAATATGAGACATGAACAAAAAATAAAATACATACTTGTAATTATATTCATACATGAATATATATATCATTAACAAAAAATGAATACACTTCTAATCATAAATTAATATTATAGTATAAATTACCTTTGGTTCTAAAATTGTTTGATTCCCCTAAATCTTTTATCTCATTCGAGAAACAACTGAGAAGAAGTGAAGGGAAAACAAAAAATAACTCACCTGCAGAAGCAATGCATAAAACAGTTAAATCGAGTCCGACTTCGGGAGATGTGAATCCGATTTCTCTGCAAGTTGTATGGACGATTTTCTCGTAATCAACGTTAGCTTTGGTGGTGATTTCACCGAAGACCATGACCATGTTGGTTTTGGTGCAGGTTTCACAGGCGACTTTGCTTTCCGGGTCTTGTTCTAGACATGCGTCTAGAATGGCGTCTGAGACTTGATCGCAGAGCTTGTCTGGGTGGCCTTCGTTCACGGATTCTGATGTGAATAGGAAGGTTTCCATCTCTGTGATAATAAGATTTCAATTAGCAACGAATGAAATCTAGGCAATTTTCTCATATGATTTTTGAACGAATTTATCACATTGGGATCATTATTGAAGTGAGAAACTAATCGGGCAGTTTCCTTATCACAGAATTCAGTAAATCATCTGTGGTTTTGGTGTGGTTTAAGCGTTATACCACGAAATACAACAGCTACGATGTTCGATTAACAACTTCAGTAGAGGAAAGAACATGATCTACTTGTAAAAGAGGCTATTTAACATAATCATACTTAAAAATTCCTGAAAAACGACCGAACAGAATGTTCAAAATCTACAGAGATCTCGCTCTTCGAATCAAACTTCAACAATTTGTAAAGCATCAGAAAGAACAGTTTATCAATGTGATTGATCACATGTAGATTTTAAATCTATAGACAAAAACCTAAGAGAGATTTCCACAATCGAGACTAACAAACCGCAAATTCAGGAGATAGAAAGTCGATTATCAGGATCAAAAACCAAATTTCAAAATATAAACACGCAATTGAATCGAATAACAGCAGCAAATCGAACGTACTTTTCTTTGATCGGGATATGTAGAGATATGGGGAAGAAGCGATTGTGAGTCGGTTGGATTGATTCGAAGCAGATGAAGCATGGATGAGCCGATGAGGAGGCGGAACTAACCATGAAGCCCTAGGTATCCAAGGGAGAAAGAAAAAGACGGGAATATGAAAGGAAATAGACGAGAATTGAGAAATTTTAGGAGTTAGCTAAAGTTTTAATTACTGTTGTACCCTTATGACAATTTTAAAATTACACTTTAATTCCTTTAATTTTAAGAATTTATATAAATGCTCATTCGATAGTAACACTTAGATTTAGTTTTTTAAATGGTTCAGATTTTGTTCTCGCGTTCTCAACCTTTTAGGTGTCTCATTTGATCTTACTCCTATATATATATATATATAATATATATATAGTATATATATATATATATATATATATATATATATATATATATATATATATATATATCACTTTGTACACATTTAGTAGACTCCAATACGAATCTAATTACGAATGCGTAGATATAAAGACCATTAAAATCTGAGATCATATAAAGAAGTTATAACGTTAAGAACATAAGACCTAAGCACTAAGCAATCGAGGCCGCAGTGGCCAAAACCATGAACAACCCCGAACACCTCATTAATAATTGTCCTATGTAAAATACCTTGAAAAAATCTAAAGAAACCGTTCATAAGTACTGAATGTGTACAAAAAACAACAAAAAATTATTTTGCAACAAAAAAATTAGTAAGGACTAAATGTGCAAGAAAAATTTTAAAGACTAAATGTGTACAAAGTAGGAAATATATTACCTTAATACGACGTTTTTTTCGGTTTACCTGAATACCCGATAATAACGATTGAATGTGTACAGTTAAACAATTTAAAAGGGAAAATGCAGACGAAAAAAATTTAATACAAATTTAAAAATAAATTACCTTTTTAAATCATTATTTTTTTTTTTATGTTGTGGTTGTTAATAACCAAATTGTTATATGTTAAAAGTAATTTAATTCATATTTTAATTTACTTTAACATCTTTTAAGGGTTTGTATAGATATTTAATGATTAGTCCAAATATTTTGATTGAACTATATATCAAATTAGCGTTATCTATATTTTTTATCTAAAAAATGTAACATTAATTTAATAGAAACTTTGGTTAATGTCATAAACATATAATATCTAAGATATTACTGACAGAAACAAAATTCAAACAAAATAAGAATCACAATTTATTTGCAATATTCTGTGCCATGTAAAGTTATGTAGATATCAAAAACACTTTTTTTTGTAGATAAACAATTGTATTATTTTTAAAGTAAATCATAAAAATGAAATTTATTCTTCATGATATTTTATTACGGGCGTGTTCGGCAAAACTAGCCGGTAGCGATTAGCTTCTAGCGGGTAGCTTGTAGCTTAGCGTTTTGTTAAACGCTACATGAAGTACCTTTTGGATTTGGAGCGTTTTGTTTAAACTAAACGTTATAAGCTTGTAGTGCCAAACAAGGTTTTCTGTTCAAAACGGAACGTTTTGTCAAACACTAGAAGCTAGAAGCTCTCAAAAAGCTCCTAAACGCTCCGTGCCGAACACGTCCTACATATGTCGACCAATAGTCATTTCGTGGCACAAATACTAATAGCGTTGTAGACATTTATTTTAACTTATATATATATATAATATTATATATATATATATATATATATATATAATATATATATATATATATATAATATATATATAATATATAGGGAGAGGATCAAATGAGAACACCTAAAAGGTTGAGAACGCGAGAACAATTCTGGACCAATCAATATATAAGGGCATACTAGTAATTGTATATTTTAATTAAATAAAATATAACTAAAATTCAATCAAATTCCCTTAAATTTAGGATCAGTTACCAAAAAAGAAATAAATATTCAATTTTTTATTTTTCTTATTAATGGAATATAAAAAACATTTTTACCAAAACTTATTTTAAAACTGAAAAAAAATTCTTACAAAAATCAATTTTTTTTCTCCTATTTCACGGTTTTTTTTTTTTTTTTTGTTCAAAAAAATGAATAGAAATCGAACACCAAATTAGTACATTTGTATTCATAAATGATTTTTTTTTTTTTTGAAAAAACATATATCACGCCAATCACAAATAAATACACATCAATTTACAAGTAATCCAATTTCTTTTTTTAATCAATTGAAAATAAAAATAGTGTAAAAATTATCATTTCTTCATAAAAAGAATACCTCTAATCATAAATAAATATACTCATTAACACATGTTTACACTGTTATTCACAAATGAATACATAGCTATTAAGAAATAAGTATCCTGTTATTCAGAATTGAATAAATGAATACCTCTAATCATAAATAAATACATTCATTCACTGTTATTCACAAATGAATACACTACTATTCACACATAAATGCACTGCTATTCATTCACTGTTATTCACACATGAATGCACTGCTATTCACAAATGAATACACTGCTATTCATAGATAAATACAATTTTTCATTCTTCCATTTCCTCTCACACTCCCTTCTTTTTCTCCTGTCTTCGAGGTGCAACAAAAACACCCCCACCAGAGGTGTTTGTTGGTGGTTTCCGGCGAGCCAAGGGCAGCAGCCCCCTCTGTTTTCTCCCACTCTTTTACGACACACGAAGAAACCCAAACACCCCCTGTTGTCGTTTTCTTTCTGCCTTCCTCCACTTGGCAATTGTTGCAGCCACTTTCTTTGGTGCATCACGTCTGCTTCTTGTTTTCTTCTTTCTTGAATGATCCATTCGAAAAGAAGATGTATTGGAAGTTTGACTAAGAATATCCATCTCAGTGTTTCTGTAAATGAAGAAGAATCAAGCAATGAGCAAAAGATGAAAAGAGCCAACCAGATATAATCGTTGCCTGTTGAGGTTTAGATGAAAGAATAAGTGTTTCATAGAAGAAAGAACTAGAATACTGGATCTTCAAGGGTTACTCATCTACATCATGCAGATTGTAAATAACTAGGGTTCCGAGGAAAGAGATTAAAGATCCAGATTAACTTGATAAATTATGTCAGTTGAAACAACACCAGAAACTCAATTCAATTCAGTCCTTAACTACACATTACACAATCACAGTTCATTAATCTGCGAACAGATATCGCATACAAACAACATTCTAACCAATAACAGTTCTATAAAAACAGATGCCATATAGAAACTCATAGGATAACAATTCATTTCAAGTCGAATATGCCCAAATATCTAAAGTTTTTCAGGCTTCAAATATCAAATCGATAGAATCAATTCCGCCAATATCGACTATTAACAAACCAGAGAATCAAACATGGTACGATTAATGCTTCCAAAAACGCCATCAAAAAATTAAGAGGTAGCGTACTTATGATTCATAACAAAGAGCACAAATTGCACAAATCCAAGATAAAACCCTAGTCCCAAGTCTCCGAAAACAATAAGTGTACTAAACTTCAAATGTTAAATCCAGATCCAACGATTTTCACACAAAAAAACAAAAAGAACAGACGCAAACATACCTCTCTGTGTATCGAGTTATACTGCACAAAATAATTAGAGATTGATTCAGTCTTGAAGCCTTTGAAATCTGTTCTTGTAGAAAATAAGAGCAAGAGAAACAGAAGTTGAAGATATCTGTACTTAAATGTAATTCGCGAACAAGTTTCCTTTTCTTGCAGAAGTTTCAGAAAAATGATCTGAATAACTTTTGGGGTATTTATAGCCTTCTCTAGATATTTTCGCGATTGATACCTTTGGATATTTTATTTCTCATCGGCGCCACTTCTGGTGACAGGTGATGCGTATGACGATGGTGGCTGCGGCGTGAGGTGAAGATGCTGAACAAATCTTCATGGTAGTATGTATATGATGGAGGCGGATTTGTTATAAAACCCTAGAGAGAGAGAGACGAGAGAGACGGGGGAATATGAGAAAGATGAGAGGAAATAGGTGAGAGGGTGAGAAATTATAGGAAATAGATAAAATTGCAATTCCTATTATGCCCTTCTGATCATTTCAAAGTTACACTTTAATACCATTAGTTTTAGAATTTTTCATAAATAGTCCATTTAATAATAACATTAGATCTAAGTATTTAAATGGTTCAGATCTGTTCTCGCGTTCTCAACCTTTTAGGTGTTCTCAGTTGATCTTACTCCTATATATCGATATATATATATATAGATATATAATAGAATATATATATTATATATTATATAATATATATATATATATAGCATTACTATAATAAAATCCCTCTTTTTCTTTTGCCTTCTACATCAATTTCAGCAGGTTCTCTTGATGCCATGTCGCCTTTCTCTTAAACAACGCGATGGACATTGCCATCGTTTCATTCTGTTGTGTCGTATCCATTTTACTTTCCGGAAATCTGCTCTCAATGTATGCACCTATTCCCGTTCTCCATTTTATAATGCCTCCTACATCACTTTCACACAACCTGCCTCTTAATCGGCGCCATGGATATGAACATCGACTCACCTTCCGTCATGTCGTATCCTTGTTACCCACCGGAAACCCGGAATCAAACACTCTTTTCCTCCTCCCGACTCTCTTCAAGAAAAACTCCGACCAAAATCCTTCACATAAAAAAACCCTAATTGGCGACTCTGATCCGGGTTTCTCTGCAATAAAAACTCCGATTATATCCTCCATGGGTACCGTCGCTTTTTTTAAAGACGAGGTTCCTCCATACCGCTATATCCGCCAATGAACACAGATAACCTCTGGCATTATTCTACCGATCCCTTTTTCCAACGGTAATTATTGGTCCATAGTTTAACTGGTTGGTTATTTATTTGTCTCGTCTCCCTCTTTCTGCTTCAACAATTGACAGTCATCCATTATGATAAAAGGTGGGTTTGATTATGTGTTTTTAGTTTTACATTTTCTTTCTACTTCTGGGTTCCATTTTCCATCTGATTAGGTTTTGTTTGTTTTACTTCTGCTTCCCTCTCATGCAGCCAGTGGTCAAATATACATCACAACTCTTCCCTTCTTAAGGTAATTAATTGTCATCCTAATTTATTTCAATTATGTCATTGTAATTTATATGGTCGTCTTCTTTGCTGTTGTGCGTTATTCTTCTCGAAATTCACAACAGATAACTGACAAACCAAACCAGATCAATCTGGGAGGGAGGGTGTGGGGGAATGAATGGGAAACATAACAAGGTATCTTTTTTATTTATATTTTTTAATTGCCTTTTATTCCTCACCAAATGCCCTTTATCTAATATTTGGAACTGACTTATATTTATGGTTGAGTGATTTGTTAGTGATTTATTGGAAAATTAAGTTTTTATCTCAGATTGGACATTTTCCTTCCTAAAAAACTCTTGTTATTGAGGCAAAATTAATTGAAATGTTGTTATGCTGATTATGAGGTTTGCATTTACTTTTCAGCCACATTTTTCCCAGGCTTCCAGTTTTGGGTGATTTTATGTCTGGCTTTTTGCCCTAAGTTGGTGATCATCTCAGAGTTATGATTCCAATATATAGTTTCTATAGTGATTGATTGCACACAAAATCCTAAGCTGGTGTTGTTTTGAGTGACGGAAGAAGGAATTTGTTTCCCATGGATCGTGTTTTATTCAGTCGAATGATTAACATACCTTGAACTCACTTTTTCATTAAGCATATGGATGTGGCCTTTTTATCTCAATTTTATCCTTCATCTTTCCACAGATTTACATATTAAGTTGTATGTACAGGTGTTGAATTAAATAGTCTTTTACCACCTATACTCAGATCTCTTTTAACTTCCTGCATAAATATTTTTTTATTTACTCCTTCATTTTATTTTGATCATTACATTTGGGCCATGTGTTGCAAGTTCATCATGTTAACATAAACCCACCAATTCGTAGTTTACTTTAGTATCAAAAATTTAAAGTTACTATTAGATTACTTTAGATATTGACGTTTAAGTAAATGCATTTTAATTTTTTTAGCCTCCAAGATCATTGCTGAATCCTATAGTCGAGAAGTCACCAGTGGTTATTTGACTAGTTATTGGTGTATGGAACAACGTCAACCTTATGAATTTTATGAATGGATTTAATGGATAAACTCAATTTTTATCAAATCAAGCTATTAATGTGTTTTGTTGATTAATTCAGCTTTGATTGATGATAAAAAGAGTTATGTGAGAATGATCTGTGATGAATTATGCAGCAAGTCTTAAAAAAGAGTTATGTGAGAATGAGAATGTTTTGGGTGAAGCACTGTCA